TCAATCCAGGAGGCATATCCTCCATTCAACATAATATACACCACGCCACAAGTCAATTCATTATATATGTCATTTGACAAATATCTATATATTAGTTTTAATATTTTTCATACCTCAGTTTATGATTATATTTGTTTTTCTTTCATAAAAAAAGAAATATAATATATATTAGTCTCAAGTTCTTCAATTAATATTAAGTCTTAATAAAATATTAATCAGAAACATTTAGGAATAATTTTTTAATACAATATGAATATCATAATTAAAAGTTTATAAATTTTTTTAAAAAATATTTTTCTTTCATGAACTTTATTTTTATTTAAAATTTATTAATTAAATATAAATAAATATTAAAAATAAAAATATTTTTATTAATAATAAATATATTTTATATAAACAAAATTAATATTACATGTAACTAATCCAAACGATTTACTACCTAATATATACAATGCCATCAACTACTTCTATTAGTTTTGTTCTCAAAATAATGATATGGTGATTAACTCCTACTTTGATTTTATTTTAATATTTTTTTTGGGAGAATAATAATTGTAATTTATAATTTTTTAATTTAAATAACTAAACTATTATTTTTATTACTCGTGCTCAAAAATTTTAATCGCTTTTATAAGCTTGTGTTACAAATTTAAATACCTAACATATTAATTATCTCCAAAGCAAACGTGTATATCCAAAATAACCATGGTTTTGTCTTTTTCAACATTTTTACTTTTCCATCAACTAATTAATTGATTAAAACTAAAAATTAAAAAGAAAACAAATAAATAAATAAATGATTAATTAATTAATTAGGTGAGTTTATATTTTTCTTTCTCGTTTGTTAAGGTTTAATTTAGGTAACTATAGAATCTTTAAAAAAACACCTAACTAATAAGTGAAATAAATATAAACTCACCTGATTAATTAATTAGTTATCTTTATTAAATTTCTTTTTAAGTTTTTTTTCTAAAAAAAAACATCAATATATACACTCAAATAGGAAAAAAGACGCAAAATACAAATCACCCATTTAATTTTATTCCATACCAGCTCATCTACTTTAACTATGCACTAACCTTCCAGTCCATCTTTTTGACGAAACTATTAGCTCGAACTTATGCTACAAGAAAAAAAGGATTATTTGTAATAAAAGTGGAAAAAAGAAACCTAACCAGTAAATAAAAAAAGAGATAAAATAAAATTTAAAAATAATAAAAATCAATTAGGATTATTTGTATTTAAAAAAAAAACTAAACCCTCTATATCCACTTATTTGTAATAAAAAAAATAAACCAAGCATGCAATAACCAATTATTTTTTTATAAAAAAATAATTTTCAATCAAGAATCCCATCATAAAAATGGTTTGGGGTTCTTTAGTCTTTCCAATAGGCCGATTAATTATTAAAAAATTATATAAGGGTGTTTATATTTTTTTATTTTTTATACAAAAAATAATAACTTTTTATCCTGTCAATAAAATTTAGAATTATTGATCAAAAACTTTCTTGACTTTTCATAATCCTTTTAGAAGTTGTTTGGAAGCACGATGCAAATTGCATTCCTAGAAAAATTATTTTTTTTATTAAAAATAGAATTTTTTGTATGTATTGAATCGTTTTAATGTATTGATTTTAAAAAAATAAAAAAATATTATTTTGATGCATTTCAATACAAAAAGTACTTTGAAAAACAACTAAAACTATACTTCCAAATAAACTTTAATAGTAAAAACACTTTTTTGCCCGTAAAATCAAAAAATTATTCAACTATGAGAGAATATTTTTTTTTCCATTATCTATGTACAGTAAAAATATGCATTTAACCTAAACATAATCTTTGTATGCAGGGGTGTTTTTATACTTTCACACATGTATCTTATATAATCAACAAGGTCATAGGGTATTTTTTATGTTTTCACAAATAAACCACCTTTTTGTTGAAGATATTTTGGCTTTCAATCTAATCAATTAACAAAGTTAGTTGTTTTTTTTTTTCAAAATAACTTTTATTCTTTTAATTTTTTTTTCTTTTGTTAAAACTATTTTTCAATTCAATTTAATACTCTAATAGAAAATTTTAATTTCCCCTCTAATTAATGTTTTTTTTCACCCTTATTTTTTTAGATCCTTTTGTATAATTATTTTTTTATGGTTTTATCTTTCAACATTTGATTTATAATGGATGTAGCTTTGTACGATCTTATCATTTTGGATTAGTTTTTTTATCTAAATATTAATTTTATAATTATCTTTAATTTATTTTATGTGGGTTTATTATGAACTCATGTCTTAAGTCATGAGTTTTACATACTATTTTTTTATTATATATTTTTTTAAATTGTTTTGTTTTAGTTTAATTTTTCAAGATATTTTTCTAATTCATTTATATTTTTTTGTGTTTTATATAAATGAATTTTATTTTTTAAAATAAAAATATTTATTTTAAAATAATATTGTTGATGTGTTGGGCCTTGCATAATATTGTTTTTTAAGGTCAGAGTTTATTTAATAAGTTTCAATTGTATTTATCTTTTAGAACATGGGATTTTTAAGGTGTAGATTTATCTTTTATTGATTTAAATAAACAAGTTCAATAAACACATTTGTATTTAATGAATTTGTTTATTTAAATTAATTTTTTATTCAGTCAAATGATAATAAAAATAAACACATATATAAAATTGATTGAATAAAATAAAAAAAATTATGTAATGCTTCTTATATTTAAGATATGATCTAAATAGAAATGTTTTTTATTATTAAAAATAAATTTCATCTATCTAAAACACACCACAAAAAAAATGAATAAAAAAATATCTTAAAAACTAAAAACATACAAAATAATATTTAAAAACATCTATTAGAAAATGCTAAATAAGAAAAATAAAAAAATAAAGGAGAGATAATAATTGAAACATAAATTTAAAAATTATTTGATAAAATACATATTAAAAAAGTATCAATTAAAATAAAAATCAAAAGTAAAATTTAAAAATAAGAAAAAGATAACAATAGTCCGGATGCCACAAACACGTTTAAAATAAATTAGAGAAACAAATGACTTGATTTAGAGGTTCGATCGAGTTTAATAAGTCAATTCTATTTTAATTACACGATTAAAAAAAATAATGATAATAAATATATAAAGCTTCTATAAAAAAAAATATCATGTTAACTTGAGAAAACAAATCTTGAAAGTATGAAATTGGAATAAAAAAGGCCTCAGCAAACTCAAATTAGTGTGATAGATATGTAACTTAGATAATTAAGGGCACGTTAACTCGAGTTAAATTGCAAAATCTATGATTCATTTTATGAGATCTAGATAACTCGATAAAAAAATTAAAAAAAAAATAAAGACAATCTCTTTTTCTAAATAAAACATTGAATAATGAAATTAAGAAAGAAAATGCTCTTATAAAAGGATTTTGACTCACATTAATTTTTCAGACTCATAACTTAGATTTTTAGACTTAAAACATCATAAATGAACAAACTTGTGAAACTCAATCTCCAACAAATTAAATACCAAAGGATGAAAAAAATCAATAGCAGAAAAAGGTCTAAATCAAAAAACTGTAATTAAAAAAATGAGGGTAAAAATCAAAATAAAAAATAAATTAGAGGGCAAAAAAAAATATTAATTTGAGGGTTAAATTGAAACGAAAAATAACTTTAATAGAAAAAAGGATGAAATTGAAAAAAAAATATCATAAACTTTTGATTGAATGATGGAATTGAAAACCAATAAAACTTAAAAAAATAGAAATCAAAAGAATAAGAATTGAATTAAAGAAAAAATATATGAAAAATTATAATTGAAAAACTAAATTGAAAACAAACAAAATTTTTATAAGAAAATTAAGAACAAAAATTAAAAATTAAAAAAATACAGATTGAAATTGAAATATTAAAAACAAAAAGTATCAATGTGTACTTTTTAAGAAAGAAAGAGAAGAAAAAATAATTACGAGTGACAAACCACATATTTACCATCATTATGTGTTGTTTAAAAAACAACAGAAAATAATGAGACATCAATCTTTTCGTCGTGTCAGCATGCTTAATCACCAGAAAATATTGCATGCGCTGTCCAAAAAAATTCAAGAATCTCTCATATGCTTATGCTCGACTTTGAAAAGCACATGCTAATAATTTTTTAAATTTAAAAATTATTTAGTAAAAAATAAATCAAAATTCCTCTACACTTTTAATGATGTAGCAAAAAGGCATGCTTAATCACCAGAAAATACTGCATGCGCTGTCCAAAAAAATTCAAGAATCTCTCATATGCTTATGCTCGACTTTGAAAAGCACATGCTAATAATTTTTTAAATTTAAAAATTATTTAGTAAAAAATAAATCAAAATGCCTCTATAAATTTAAAATTAACCAAAGATATCTCTTTGAAATAATGAAAATACCCAAGTATGAACTATTATTTTCTGAATTCAAAGGTAAAAATGTCTTGTTACCTTTTTTTTTATTTGAATATTGAAAAGATTGAGATATCATTAGTCAACAATTTTTAATTCTTTTGATTTTAGAATAAATTACTTTACAAGTGAATCACCCCTACCATAAAAGCCATCCAATTTTTTCAATAAAAAATAAAATAATAATTTTACAATAATCTATATTAATCTATGTCTAATGTTACAATGAAAAACTTACACGCTACAGATTTCTGCACAATAATTAAATTAAATTATAAATTAATCCTTCTAGATTAAAAAAAATAAATAATCCCTTTAATTTTAAAAATTAATTAATCTCATGTTATTTTTTAGTTTATTTTATTTTTTGTTAAAAAATAAAAAGAAAAATTAAATAATATTAATATATTAATGAGAAAATAAGGCAATCTTGAAAACATATTAATATTAAATTAGTTTTAAAACTAATTAATTAATTTTTAAGACTAGAGAAATTATGTAGAAATAGAGGAACTAATTTATAATTTTCTCTCTTAGAGTCCATAACCAAACATAAATCTTAAAAAAAAGCAAAAAAACAAGAACTCTGTCATCATTTTTGAGCGCAAACACCAACGAACGAAATTATTTCCCCTTTCCTTCGATATCTATTACTCCATAAAAACAAACAAACAGACAGCGGAATTCCTCCCTCCCTCCCTCTCTCTCAAAAACTATCTGCCCTCAATCCTGTATCTATTCATCAATTAATCCTTTTTGTTTTTATTATTAAATAAAAAAAACACTTACCTATCTTCTTCATATTTATTTTGGTTCCTTTTCTTTAATCCAGTTTTTTTTTCTCCTTTTTACCTTTTGTTTTCCTCACAGCTTTGCGTGTTTTCATCATCTATATATTTTTCAAGAATCGATAGCAATAATAGCAAAAATCTCTTGAATTCCATTCAAATATTGAATCTTGTGTGAATTCTTGATCTCTTCAATGGATCAAGTAAAGATGCATCTTTTGATTCTTGACTTTTTTTTTGAGTGAATGAGAGATAATGGGATTAGAATCTTCTGGTGGATTCTTGGATTTCTCAACTAAAGGGTCTCAAATGGGTTGGTTTAATTGCTGATCATCTATCAAATTCTGGGTTGTTTTTGTTTTGTTATATAGATGAAGAAATTGGGTATTCAAGTTTGATCGTTAGGGGGTTTTAGTTACAGTTGTGGAATCAATGGATGAAGTCGGTTCAAATGAATTGGATGAGCCATCAATTCCATGGCGGCCGAGGCAGCTGGCATTTGGGCAGTACAGGCAGGAGAGGGAACCTGCCAACAAGGAGCAAATTTTGCGTGTTGTTGTAAGAAGACCTGTAAGTGTTTTTATTCCCTTACTTTTGTCATTTTGGATTATGTTGTTGATTTGATTGATTCTGTTGGTGGTTTATGTGGGCTTTAATTTGCATGCTGAATATGAGCGTTTTGGGTTTAATACAAAGGTTGAAGTAAAAAGTTTAGGATTTGAAAATTAAGTGATATAGCTTGAGTGATAACTGGGTGCTTAATGTCTACATGTACACCATTGAGATTATCAAACTGCCTTAGCTTTTGCATTTCAAAGTAAAATGTTTAGGAAGGACTAGTGGTAGCTGTTTATGGAATCTGTATGTGTTCTCTAGGAGATTATTAATTAAAAGGTAGATGTTTGTCTTGCTAATTTATGGAAAAAATGAACAAGAAAGAAAGATATATATATAACTACAAGAATATCTTCCTTGGAATGCTAATGGCTGGGAGGGCGTAGGCTTTTTTGAGGTTGTGATGTCATATGACATTCCAGAAATATCTACAACATTATTCTGTTTCTGCAGTAGTATTTTCCATTGTGAAGAGTAACACAATGTTATAATCCCCAAAGAGGAGTTATAATAAAGACAATTTTCTGGACTTTAAACTGCGAAACTTATGAGTTGCACGCATTTCTGGATTAATAATGGAAAGTGTACACTTGGGATTGATAGTTACAGTGCAGATGTGAGAGCTTAGAGGATCTTTATCCTGCCTTTGAGGGGAAGGGAAGAAATCCTTTCTTTTGAATTTGGCTAGGACATATCATTAAAGCATTTCATTGCGAAATTTGCTACTGTTACAAGATTGGACTATCCCTTGCAGCACTTTTAACTTTAACCATGTAAAACCATATGATCATGTCAATATGTTTCCTATCAAATTCTTAGTTCTTGTGAGGACAAGGAGACTTTGATCCACCCTTATTTTTTATTACAACAGCTGAAGATTGACCATGGTGATCAAAGATGGAGCCAATGGTTGGATGCCTTTGAGTTCTTATGTTGGAACTCTTGAAGCTATGTATTTCATGTCTCATGTTTGCTGATATTTTTATGTTACTGATGTTGACCCACTTAGATTCAAATGCTTCGGGACTTGGTCAGTTTTAAGTTTCAAGATTGCTAGTAGCCTAAAATAACAGTGAAACCCTCTCCCAAAATTTTAAACCCTCTTGTCCTGAAGTGACCATGACCAAGAGAAACCCACAGCGTTGTTTGCCAACCACCATGAACTCCTAGTCCATGCAAATAAATGATCGATTGGATGTAGCAACTGTTTTGAACAAAAAACACTAATTGACCAAAACGTCTTTCATTTGGATTTTATCCATAGTTGAAATCATACCCCAAGCTGCCTTCCATGCAAAAGGAGAAATCTAGCAGGATTACACTTCTGTGTAGCTCTGTCCTGGGGAACTGAGTTTTTCCACTTCACATATATTTTGTAATAGAGCCTCATAAAAAGATTCAGCTGTAAACACAATATTTTTCTCATTAGGTTTCTGATTAGCCTCATCATCTCCCCTAACTTTAGCCCTCCCCCTATCCAATCTGCGAATCTTTAGATCTCCGATCAATAGCTATGTCCCACAACACACCCCTTTTAAGTATGAGTGTCCAAACCATCCTTATTCCTTGGAGATTTTGGTCTTAGGAGTTAAAGAGAAACTGAAATCAAATGTTCTCCAAAGAATAAATACAATTTAGTCCTTTCTGCATCAAAACCCATGAAGAGAAGAACTCATAACCTATATCTAAATTCTTATGAACCTTTAAATACTGGTTGCACGTGAATCCCTAGCTTCTATTGTTATCCATTCTTGTGATCATTTGTATATATAACACTAAGTATCATTGCTGATGCTATTTGACTTCACAATGACTTCAACTACTTAGCAGTAATTTGTTAAAATTCATATTTAATCCTTAAATTGCTGGTTTAAAATAATAATAATAATAATAATAATAATAATAATAATAATAATAATAATAATAATAATAATAATAATAATAATAATAATAATAATAATATAATCCTATTAAAAGTCTTGTTTCATAACACACTTTTTTAAGTTTGAGTTCCCTAACTATGTTATTTCCCTAGAAGCCTGAAAATTATAGGGATTTCAGTCTCAAGAGTTAAGAGGAGCTGACATCAATTATCAAGGCGGATACTGTTTTCTTCACAATGAACTGTCACAACTGTTTATCTAGGACTTTTCTTAAAATCCTGATTTAATCCCTAAACTGCTGATTTCACAAAAATAAATAAATAAATAAACCCACCCGGAACTGCTTACTTCAAAAGAGTATTTGCCACAATCCATGACCCAAAGTTCATGATCGTTCCCTATATGTCTTTGTAAGAACCTTCTTTTTGGATCTGTTGAAGTCTATGCACAATAGAGCAAGTAAAGGGAAGAGTGACATATGGATTTAGAGGGTTAGAAAGATTTATTTTTTTAAGGACTGGTTTATCTTTTGCATGTGTGACACATGTAATATGTAACGCTCCCCTAGCTTGGATACTCAATAGAGAGGGAACAATTTCAAATTAAACTGGAAAGTTTTAAGAGTCCAGTTGTATAGCGAGCCATATGCTTTTTCTTACTTTCTGACATTTGAGCATCCATTTTAGCCCGTCCGACATTTGAGGACCATTTTTCTTAAAATTTCGACACATTTGAAACAGAAAGTAACATTTTTGGTAGTTGTAGACATTGAGAATTTTCTTTATTGTGTCTATCTAAAATTGATCCAGAATTCCTGTGATCTTTCATTCGGCCAGGCTAAGTCAAGGAGCTTTTTTCTTGCTAGCTTCCCAAACAATTGTCCTATAAAGCAAAAGCAGCAGTGAAAGATCCTCCAAATGTCACTCTTAGAAAGCTCACATATAACATATATGTGAGCACATGTCTTGACATTATTCAGACATCATATTAGCATCTGAAGTCTCAGTGCGAACTTGTTAAGGATACATTCTATTTTTTGGTTAACATTGCCTATAGCAATGCATATGGATGTGAATGGTTAATTGACTACTGCGGTATCAGCTCTCATCTTTCGTGCACTGATCTTCTTGCAAGAATCCATTTGAACTGCCATTTTATTTTCTAGCTTGGCTAAGTGAACATTATTATTGTTTTATTAACCAAATTTTGTTTGAGTAGTGGAGTACTGTTGAGTTAAAATTATTTGAGGTACACTTTTGCGCTGACTCTTAAGCTTTTAATGATGCAGTTGGTTGCAAGGCTAACCAAAGACATAGTCGAAACATATCAGACATGCAATCCACAATTTAAATATTCCGAAGAATTAAATCCAAAAAGATATTTGACCAGCCCATCAGCTGGAGTCCTCAACGACGGCCATGATAATGTGAACTCAGATCTTATTCTGACTGTGAACTTTGCTTTGGTAAATTTAGACACACAGAGAAGGTTTGTTTATGTTTGTCGTTTTGATTCCTCTGCATTTATTTTTCTGGAACTCCTTTTTTTTTTTCTTTTTTTTCCTGTACTTGGTTTTGAACAAAAAAGTTTATGCATTATATTTTGAATGAATTGGTAGAAAAACAATTCATGTAAGGTCCCTTACGACCTTGAGTTCTTGACCCACATGTTTAGTTTTCTTTACATCTTTGATTCCTGTTTGACATCTTTGGAAAAATAAGCTGTGCTTATTCCATTTTTTAATGAGTTTTGATTTTGATGATAGATAAATTCTAGTCTGAATTCCATGTAGTTGTAATGAAACATTCTCTGTAATTCCTAGATACAAGCATTCCAATGTTTGTTCATGTATTAGCCTCTCTCTCTATGGATGCTTGATGTTTCAGTTTTTCTTATCAAAGTTTTTAGGTGATTTTGTTCATGCACATGTGTGTATCACTGACCTGTTTTTCTCCTTGAATTCTAAAAAAAAAAACGAAAAGAAAAAGAAAAAAAGCCTCCTTTTCTTTTATTCTAGCTAGAAGAATGAGAATCCTAATAATAATTAATCTGGCAATTGAACTAAATTATTCTGATTTAGAGAGTGTTTTGGGAGAACAGAATATCCTAGTGCATTGGAACTGCAATATTTACAGTTTTTTTTCTCCCAATTATAACTTTACTTTTCTAAATCATTATGAGCCATGTGCTTTGTCATCCACAAAATAAAAAGTTGAAGTTAGCAAAATTCAATATACAGAAGAAAGAAAGATGAAGTTTGATAGAAGTTCAGAAATATAAACAGATTCTAAGACAATCTAAAGAAATGATTAAATTCAATACATTCATTAAATTCTTAGGTTTTCCTTCCTCCAACATGAATGAATATTCTTCAGTCTTGAAACATTGATACTATATTTACTTTCACTGTTTGTTTCCTTTTTAGAAGTTCCATTCAGTAGGTGACAAGAACAGAAGCACACAATTTAGATTGCATGGTAGTAAATATGAGATCAATGACTCGCTTATCACATCATATCTGCAGATACATAGTCAAGGATGTTCTTGGTCATGGGACTTTTGGGCAGGTTGCTAAATGCTGGGTCGCAGAAACTAACAGTTTTGTTGCTGTGAAGATAATAAAAAACCAACCTGCTTACTATCAGCAAGCTCTGGTTGAAGTATCTATTTTGACAACGGTAATTAAAAAGCTCTTCAACTCTTTGTGCCACACTTGTTGTGGTATTAGTAATGATGTCTCTTTATGTTTGCTCAATGCTTTCCCATAACAGTTAAACAAGAAGTATGATCCTGAGGATAAGCATCACATTGTTCGTATATATGATTACTTTGTATACCAGCGGCATTTATGCATCTGTTTTGAACTTCTTGACACAAATCTGTAAGTTAAGGGCTATTTACATAGTTACATTTAGTGTGCAGTTGCATTTGGTTGGAAAAGCTGCTTTCCTGACTTACCTTTTCTGCGGATCTTTGGTCATCTGTTTTTTTGTTTAATTTCTTTTTAGCAGCATATACTTGACTTTTAAAGTTATTCAGGTATGAGCTTATCAAGATAAATCAATTTAGGGGGTTATCATTGAGTATTGTCCAATTATTCTCTAAGCAGGTATGGCAACTTTAAAATTGCTGCCTTGTTGCATTATATCTGAATTGAATTTGTTCTCATTTCTTGTTTAATGTGTTCTTAAAAAAGATTTTACGTGGGTTGGCTCTGCTAAAAGATGCTGGGATAATCCATTGTGATCTGAAGCCAGAAAACATTCTTCTGTGCACAAGGTAATTAATTATTCATGATGTGTTTAGCCTCAAACCTATTACAAATATCATTTCTGTTCAACTGAAATTTTTTTATCTTGAAAAAACAGTTTGAAGCCGGCAGAAATTAAGATAATTGATTTTGGATCAGCATGCATGGAAGACCGCACTGTTTACTCTTACATTCAGGTTATCTTTATGTCTGCTCCATCTTTTCATTTTATTTCTATCAGCTTGTGACGTACCTTTAATGGCTTCTCTGTTTATTCTGCAGAGCCGTTACTATAGGTCTCCTGAAGTTCTTCTAGGTTGTCAGTATCCTTTCAGTAAAAATATAGCTTCATGAATTTTTTATTATATTAAATCATCTGTGTACACTCATGCTCTCATTCTAGAATCATGGGGGTGTTATCTGGGACCTTAATCTATTCTAGATATTCTACGGCTATTGACATGTGGTCCTTCGGGTGCATAGTTGCAGAACTGTTTCTAGGATTGCCACTTTTTCCTGGTGCTTCAGAATTTGATCTCTTGAGGAGAATGATTGAAATACTTGGGTAAGTCATCTCTATCAGCTGTACAGGAGTGAAATATATTTGCAAATATCTTAAGTGTGTTGCTAAGAATATGAATTTGATGTCCTTTCTGTTTTGTATGTGTTTTCTCGAATTACAAAATGACCATTAAACAAGAAAAATGACATGATTATTGATAGATCTACTGTGGAAATAACTCTGTATATGAAAAGAAAAAATCATTTTTCTTCAATGTTGCAAGGGGCCATTGATTAGTGCAGTGGTAACCTTACAACCAGAAGGGTGCATGTTTGGCTCTTGATAACAGCCACTTCATGCAAAAATTAAGGGTAGGCTTCGGACTATCTTAAGGATATCCTTGTCAAGACTCTTTTCAGTGGGACCATATGTGGGTAACAGATCATCACCTCTTTTCACCCTTTCCAGTGGGTGTGCCAATCTTTTGGTTTCGTGATTGTTATCATTTGTATGTACGGGAAGAGATAGCTTGAAATGAGTATATTGATACTCATCGTATTTATTTTTTATTTTTATATCAGACTCCTGAAGCTGGAGTAAGAATCATTTCAAGTTATGAACTGTAGAATGAAAAAAATTATTGAAATTTGATTGTTAACAGTGAAGCAATGGCACATAACAAAATGACAGAATTAGGTCTTCATGCACCAAAATGAAGGGTCACATAAGCTGGTGTAATCTTTTCTCATGAACTTGCATGGCTTAGGAAAGAAGTCAACTGTAGAACAGCATTAATCTTACTCTTAGTTAAACTGAAATCGTAAGATGTCTGATTGCTGTGGTTGTGAAAGTCCTTTCACATTTGCTTGGAGCCTGTTTCGTATTAAATAATTTCTACAAGCATACTTGTTGCTGAATGCCAGCATTCATGTTAGCTAGCTTTACATAAATGTTCCCTCAATTGGGAGTCAGATTGATTTGTAGATATATTTGCCAATTATACCTTTGTCTCTTTATTGCTCATGCTTTACTTGTAGATGCTAGTTGACACAGACCTGAAATGCTTATGACTCTATATAATGGAAGAAATATGAAATACTTTTCTGGACCAATCCTGATAGACTATTGTTTCAGAAAGACTTATACTATTATAATTGTTGCAGAAGGTCATTTGAATTAAGTTCAAGGCTCTGTGCAGTTGCTTTTGAAATATAATTAGCTGGCTCTTCAGTGGTACAAGGCAGAACAGATGCACTACCACAAAAGGGAAAATATAATGGAGCCTGTAGAATAACCCAAAGAAAACTAAAATGATTCAACATAATAGTGAATTAGGGGGGCTTGAATATCATCTGCATCTACTAGTACTTCAACTAGGATAATAGAAAGGAAAACTTATATAAATTTCATGAATTTCTCAATGATTCAGCATATAAGAAGGTCCACGGCACCTTGAACACTTTTACATCTATGCTGTTTAAAGACCCTGGCCCTCATGTGACCATGGACATCTCCTGTCAGAAGAATGACATAGATCCTATCTCTGTTTTTTTTCCCTATGTTTACTTTTCATTCCTTGCTTCTTTTTTTGGAGAGTATTTGATTTTGTAGTTCCATCTGCTTTCTAAGAATCCTTCCAAAAAAAAGAGAAGAAAACAAAAGAAAAGGGAATGATTTGCTATTAGTTGCTATTGTTTTAATGTGTTTTGTGGAAGCTTTTTGTGTCTCCTTTGGGAGTTCTTTAAATTCATTTATCAAAGTTGGATTTATGATTTGCAGTTTGATATAACTGACTGTTATGAGAGTTTAATACCTGTAATTATGCTAAGCAAGCCCCAAGCAAGTTAACTAGTGAGCCCATGCGATCACTATCTTGTCCATTTTTGTCACCGTCTTAGTCAAGACAGCCGTGTGTGGGTAAATTATTCTGAAGAACCATACATGCACATATAAGTAAATTGTACTTGTTTTTTCCCCGAAGTTATTACTTATAGTAAGCCAATTTATAAAAGTTCAAAAGCATGCATGAGCAGGGGGGGTGCAACCAATGCTATTGGGAACTGATCTTATTTTGCGGTTGATTTGTCTATGTCTGTTAGAGCACTGGAACTAGTAGGTGGTAGTATTTAATGCTTTGATTTGTTGTGTTACTTGTGTTCATTATTTGAAGAATAGCTTATTTTCTTGTTGACATTTTGTAGAGGACAACCCCCTGATCATGTCCTAAAAGAGGCGAAGAATGTTAGTAAGTTCTTCAAGTGCATTGGGAGTGTCCAGAATTTAGAGAGTGGTGAAGTTTCTTTGGGAGGAAGAAATGCATACCAAGCATTAACTGTGGAAGAATATGAATCTGTAAGTGTTCGTGTTGTAGTTTGGAAGTGGAAAATCAATTAATAGAAGAACAAATAGAGCTTCCTAAGTGATTTTTTTTTCTTTCCTCAAAAGCTAATATCAATAGACAAGGGTATATCTTTCTTTTCTATTGTTTGCTGCATTTTATTCTCATCCTCATTGTGATGATTTTGGTTTTGTTTTCAGAGAGAGCGGAAGAAACCATCTATTGGGAAGGAGTATTTCCATCATATGAACCTTGAGGCAATTGTTACAAACTATCCGTACAGAAAGAATTTGCCACTGGAAGATATGAAGAAAGGTAGTTCTTATATCCGAAGAATCTGATTTTATGAAGCCATTTTAATTAATATGTTGCTATCATTTATAGAAGCTGCTAATTGCTGTTGTTAAACACAATACAGAAAGTCAAATACGATTAGCTTTGATTGATTTCTTGAGGGGTCTTGTTGAGTTTGATCCTGCAAAACGGTGGTCCCCTTTTCAGGTAATTTAAGTTTTTCTTAGTTTTGAGCAATTTTTTTCATAATTAATTATAACTTTGTATTTGTGGATACATGGAGGCATAATTCATTCATGTGCAGGCTTCAAAACATCCTTTTGTAACTGGGGAACCTTTCACATGCCCATACAAGCCTCCCCTGGAGACCCCTCGTATGGTAAGTAGAGTAGTGTATGAGCCGTTACATTGATTGACTTTCTAAGATTTAATCTGGGATGATACTGGAAGATTGTGATATTTTCCTTAAATAGCAACCAGATTATTGTTCTTCTGGATTAATTCTTATAATTAATTTACTGATCCATGTATTGCCTGGTTTGCTCCATCCTGCCCATATGTTTGATTCTTACTTTCACTAATAAGTTCATATATGTTTCTGTTACATAAATATTATGAAGTTCAAGAGAACTATCTGCTCTATTTTAAGTAGTTGGTTTTTGTTCACAATCATCTTTCTTGCATAATGAGCTAGGAAATTATTTAACTCATATGAAGGAAGAAGAATTAATGTTCCATAAAAAATGTTGATTTTATTGTCTATGCATGTTTTTCGCATAGATGCTTCTTGTTTTACTATTCGCATCATATGTTGTACTAATAGGTTTCTGGGAGTTTAGGTGTATTTAATGATTATTATTCTTTTGATAGTGTACTCATCTCTCTCTATGGTTGTAGCCTGTTTCCCAAAATATCAAGGTGGACCATCACCCAGGTGGAGGGCATTGGTTTGCTGCTGGTCTGTCTCCTAATGTGAGCTCATGTTTTTTTTTTTTTTTCCCATTATTTTTTAACTAGCCTGAACACTTTTCCTCCATGACTTACCTTCAAAATAAGAAAGATGTCTTACATCACTGCAAACACATGAAAAAATTGGGGAATAAGAGAAAAGGGGAAAATATATAATCGTAACTTCGTCTTTCTTATGTAGAATCATGGAAGGGCCAGAGTTTCCTTGCATAATAGCCCACATTTCCAGGCAGTTCCATATGGTCATGGTGCTAGTTATGGTAGTGTTGGAAGCCATGGTAGCTATAATGATGGTATTGGCCTTGGAAGCAGCTATGGAAGCTATGGAGATAGCAGTAATATGTTTGCATATTATTCACCAGTTGCTCCATCTGGCATGAACATGCATCCACAGGCTGGTCTGTCAATGCTTGGAAATAGTCCAGATGCAAGATGGAGGTTTATGCAATATTCACATGGAAATGGTCTTGGTATGAGTCCATCTGCAGGAAATTTTGCACCACTTCCCCTTGGAACCAGTCCTTCACAGTTTACTCCACCAAGCTCCTACAGTCAAGCTTCAGCTGGTTCTCCTGGACATTATGGTCCAACTTCCCCTGCAAGAAGCTGCAGTCATGGATCGCCTCTAGGAAAAATGGCTGCAGTTACACAATTTAATAGAAGAAAAAGTTGGGGGCATCCTGGAAGTTATCAATCTCAAGATTGTACATCTTCAAATTGGCAAGGACAATCCACTGATGGTGCTTGTTCTAACCAATCTGAGGAAAATCCATCAGTACTTGGTAGTTCACCCTCACATCGGCAGTCAAGCTGGATGCAGCAACAAGGAGGCAGTGGAAGTGCAGCTGGTCCCTCAACCATTCAGAGTATTCAAGGCTCGTTTAAGCCTGCTTCTAATATGAAATGTACTCGAAGTGCAGGGCCTATTCATGATAAGCCCGAGGCTAGCCTCTCACTGCCGGATCCAGGGGACTGGGATCCCAATTACAGGTAACAATGAGAGTTATTTATATTGTTAGTTTCTATAATATGTTCTTTTGAGTTACGTTGATACCTTGCATATTACCTTCACATATACTTACAAACAAAATAACATTGGAATGAACAGATTTTGATGGTTTTATTGAACATAGCATAAAAACGAGAGTTGTCCATCCACTGCTTAGAATTATTTTTTTCTTTTCAGTAAAAACGAAGAATTTATTGAATCAAATATGTTAAAAAATTTAACTTGTGTGTCAAGTAGTTCTTTAGCTAGATGTGACTATGATTCCTCTGTTGTTTTTATGAGATATTCACACTGCATAAGGTGTTTATTTGCTCTATTGCTAGCCTTTGATGAAAGCAGTTCATGGTTGTCCTTTTTTTTTTTTTCCCGTACATTATTACTGTTAGAAACCAATCTTTTCATTAAATGGAACCCAGGCTTTTCTTTAGCTATTAACCTTAGATGACTAAAACCAGCACTTCACCCTTAGGGTTCTTATCAGCCCCATGTAGCATACTGCCCCTGTTAAAGCATTTTTATACTGTTGGTGCCTGTCTGCTTGCATGTTGGGATCCAGTCATGTGTATGACTTCATCTTTTACTGGTAGGTTTATTCACATCACATTTCATAATGTAACTCGTTTAGGAGTAAGCCAGTGCTAAATTTGGAGCTTTATTTTCTTCATCATGCTAATGTATTTGCTTAATTCAAGGTTTAAATGGGATGTAAATTCAAAGCATTTTGACTTTGGTAGTAGTGTTCATGATCAGTTGATAAAGTTTCAATAAATACGTTGCTTATACTCTGTTTTGACAGTACTTATGGCATTTTTGTGGCTATTTCTAAATAATTGTGGCAAGAAAAGATTTTGGGTGAGAGTTTTGTTAAAAGTAAAAATCATAACTTAAGGGAAAAATCATAATAAATGTTACATATGAAAAGTGGAAGGCTAGTTTACTTTTTCATTGACTTCTTCTCTCTTCTGAACACTAATTGGTGAAGTGATGGGTGTGCATTCTGACTTCTTCTCTCTTCTGAACACTAATTGGTGAAGTGATGGGTGGCAATGCACCTGTCACCACATCTCCAAAGAATATTTGAAGGGCAATTTAAAATAGCATGCACTTGTATTTTCTACCATGTGTTTGTCTAATCTCTTAGTGTGGCATCTGTTATTCATTTTCCAGCGATGAACTTCTTCTTCAAGAGGATGGTTCTGATGTGAGTTCCATAAGCACTGAGTTTAGCAATAGCATGCATCTTGGTTCTGGTGTTCCAGTGGTAGGTGTTGGAAGATCCAACCGATCCTCAAATGCAAGCTCCAGCTCATTAAACCAAAGGTATGCTTTGTGTTGAGTAAAAAGCATACAGTTTCTCTAGATTTACATGGTTGCCTGAATTTTTTCAACTTATGATCATTACTGTTATTTTTTAACTATTCCCCAAGTGGTGGAGTCTAACATAAATCAAACATTGTGGAAAATGGGCAGCAAGAACTTCAACATAGAAGAAAATGTAGAAACTGTTGATTGACTGATTGTATGTATGAAACTTCAAAATTTGAAAATTGATCAGCGTAAATTATGATAAGCTAAATTGTTGCTTCATGTTTTCTATTATATACATAATTCGTGTTTGCTACCATTTATTTTTCTTTCTTCCTTCTTATTTCTTGAGAAGGGACCAGTGGGTGTTATGTTTTTACTGTTAAATATTTCTTACTAGTCTTCACTCCTTTGTGGTTGTATTATGATGATGTCAGAAATGGACCTTTACATGCATTTGCACATGTTGATGCGGGAAGCCCGCCTTCAGCACATGATCTTCATGCTGGATATGGTCGTTCAATGTCAAAGCCTTCATACTTTACACCTCATATCTCACAAAATTCTCCAAGCCGTTTAGGACAGCAACCCCCCCAGCGGTTTAGTCATGGAAGGCCTACTGTTCGGGGTAGTGAATGGAATCATATAAAGGCCCAGCCCCCTCCATCCAGCTTCAATTCCGGAGGGCAACGTTCTCCAGGAAGTAGTTCATTGAACAACAGCATGCCATGGGGTACTTTCTGACTGATTTGCTTAATTGTTTGTTAGATCCACATGAATTTAAATTTATTAACTACTATTGAAATCTTTTGTAGGGCGTAGGGCCAATTTCAATAGCATCCCACCACCATCCCGAGGAAGAAAAGACTTTGAAAGGATTGCCTAGTTTCGTAGCCACCTGAATTTCTTACTGCGATGATTTTGTTATTGAGTGTTGGAAGAAAGTTGTTCCCCATTATTAGTTCACATACTTAGTGGGCTGTTGCTTCGAAAATCTTCATCTGAAACATGCTCATTCATTATGCTTGCATAAAAATATAAAGCATCATTGTGGTTTCCGTCATTCTCTGATTTTTGACATGCAAGCCTTTTGTTTCTTGGTTCCAACAATTCTGTAGCCCTGAACACCTTTCCCAGGTTTTCATTTTATGCATCTAAATCGTGATTGCATTTGATGCACGTGAACGATTAAGTTTATCAACGAGGATTAAACTTAAGGCTAGAGGAAGAATTCAACTGGGAGTCAAGATGTCAAGGTTGAGTTAACTGTTTCCAAGCGTAAATTGAATCGTATTTACTCAGATTGCTGTAAGCTCTACAATGAATTTGGTGGATTGTTGGGGTAAATAGAGGTATTTTATGATTCCCAGCTCGCTGGCAGTGAAGAGTTTTTACATTGCTGGTGTAAATTGGACTTTTCAAATTCAAGATGCCGAGTCTTTAGTTGATTTGACCAGAACTGGATGTAATGTTTAGGGACTCATCTTCTTGCCTGGCAAAACCCTGAAGAGAACAACCTCTTCGAGCCAACAAGTTTAATGCTGTGAAGCGGCAAATTTGGTGCGTAGAAAACAGGTGAAGCAGGAGCTATATGGATAAACAATTCAACAAGTGAGGAGTCTGTGCTGTGGAAAAACAATTCAAAGCAACTTCTCAAGGAAGAAAGGTGGCATAAACGAATCAAGAATTTATCTTTTGATTAAAATAAATAGTACTTATTTAAACCAATCTTTCCAAGTGCATGAAGTTATGTAATTTTCAACCTTTTGAAATTAAATAATGTTTGTGGTGTTTGACTAGTTTAGATTGAGAAACCCAAAATAATAATAATAATGAAATTAAATATACAAAATATCCGCAGCGGAGGGTGAGAGCGTGCGTGAAGCACATAGTTTATTGAAGCGATGACACATGGATTTGTAGCAGACCCATCGATTTCTAGCTCAGTTCCCATTTCTCAAACAACCAACGAAGAATTAAATATAACAAAAACTAAGAAAAGAACAAAACAGAGAAGAAAAGGAAAGAGGCAAAATGGCAATCTCTACACCACTCAAACATGGATGCAATATCTCTCATGGCCACTAGCAACATTCCTTCCCGTATCATCTACCACGATATTTTTATTTAAAAATATATTAAGTTCATTTTTTTTTATATTTTTTATAGTATCTCATTAAATCAATTTAAAATAACTTTTTTTTAATGCAAAAACAAATTATGTATATATTGTTTTTGAGCTGTAACCCTCCATTTTCTTTACTGAAATCATCGTATTATGGTAGTAAGATTATCAAACAGGATAAAATTGAAAATAATAATAATAATGAAAAAATCATACGTTCAGACAAATAAGGTTGTAACAGCTAACAAGGCTGGTTGCAGTTTACAACCACTCTGCCCCCTGCTCACTTTGGAATCCTCACCTCGTCCCTATCACCTTCTGCTTCTCTTGTTTTCCTAACAAACTGTTGTTTTCCAGGTATGCAGCTCTTCAACTTTATACACCATTTCTCTTCTTTCAAAACTCTCTAAATTTTCTTTTGCGTTTCCTTATTCTTCTGCTGTAAACTGAATTATTCTTGTTCTTTTGGCCACTTTGTTTGGATCTTGGAACCCAATTTCTGGGGGGCAGTTTAGACAGAGAAGAGCTTGCATAACTCATAATTTGAAAAAATAGTAGCAAATATGAAGAATAGCCCACAACTGTAAACACCGTTTGTGATCATTTGCTTTGCAAACTATATGGGCTTCTACTTCAACACTTGGAGTATTGGGACTGAGTTAATCTATCTGCCCTCCACTCATTCACGGTTTAACATCAAAGTCTCACTTTATTGGCTAAAGCTTGATTTGAACATGTTATAACACATACCTGTCTCAGGCATGGTAATATATCTTAATTGTTATTAATGTACTAAAGAAAATTCAACTATGGTTTAAGACCTGATTTGCATCATGTTAGTTTTGTATTTAATATTTGATGGGATCTTTGTTTGTAACTTCACTGTTATATTTCTTTCCATTTCCTATATGATTGGAGATTTTGATGTTTTTAGAAATTCTTAGTTCAACTCTATAGCTGTATTTACTTGGTTTCTGGATACTAATCCTCTGCATATCCATATCTGTGACCACATTCCCTGATACTCATGTAGTCGTTTATTTTGGATAGTTTGAATACAATGAACTTACAAGAAATTTGGTAGATTGTTATGGAATGTGATGCGACGAGGATCATTATGGTCACCATACATTTTTTTACAATCTACCAAACATATAGTTACTCTTCCTTTTTTTGACCTATTGAGGAGCCTAATATTTTTCCCCCCAATTTCCTTCGATTTTAATTCCAGAAGGACTATCAAAGTGAGCTTTAGGGAGATTTATCCGAAACAATATCTACATGCACGGAGTCTTGTGAATAGAGTAGGCTTGAAGAGCGGTGGACTGGTACATCAGTTTTCTAAAAGCTTGTGATGATTATTGTACAAACCTAAAAGTAATCATATGATGGCCACAGCTTCATTTATTGGACTTACCACAGGAAAGAGGCTCTTGAGTTCCACCTTTTATTATTCAGACCTCACAGAAAGGCTTTCCAATGTCAATGATCATGGAATAGCCTATCAAATTACAACAACAAAGAGTGTGATTGTTGCAAAAAAGTCATCAAAATATGGCCCCAGCTTCCCCTCGTCCTATCGAAATCCACACTCCAATAAAGCCCTTAAAGAACTTATTGATACTGCTTCTGCTTCTTCAACTGTAGCAACATGGTTCAAGGCATTAGATGACTTCGAAGAAGAAAGTTCTGTTCTCGACTATTCAGTTGAAGCTCTCATTTTGCTGCAGAAGTCTATGCTAGAAAAGCAATGGAATCTTTCTTTTGAGAGGATAAACTCAAGTGACTCAAAAATTAAAAAAAGTAACAAGAAGATACCTGTCACTTGTTCTGGGGTGTCTGCTCGACAACGAAGGTTGAATAGCAAGAGAAAAAATCAGAACCAAAGCAAATTCATGTCATGTAGTGGTGACTTTAAGCTGCCAAGGTCAGATATTAGTCCAGATCTACTTCTGAATCGTTTGAAAGGTTATGTGAAGGGTGTAGTAAGTGATGAGGTGCTTCCCCATACAGAAGTCGTGCGTCTGTCAAGGATAATTAGAGCTGGTATTTCCTTAGAGGACCATAAATCCAGGTGAGAATACAATATTAATGATAAGAGAAGTTTTTTAGTTCAGTGTAGTTATTTGTTTGCACACCTTGTTGATTCTATAATAAGCAGCTTTATTGTATTTTTTTGACGTAACATGGATTTTGAATGTGACTAAGGCAGATATAATTGAGGGCAACGGTATGGCTGGTAATGATTTTTTCTTTCCTTGTCATTCACACCTTGCTCCGTGTTCTCGAAACTTGGGACAATTTTATGTGAAGAGAAATCATGATTTAATTTTCTTTAGTGTGCTGAACACTCATTTATAAAACATGCGATCCATATCTTTCATTTGTGTGTTATTCCATTGCTGTATGATCAATATATTCGAATCTGGAAATTTCAGTCTGAAGGAGAGATTAGGTTGTGAGCCCTCAGATGAACAACTTGCGGATTCCTTGAGGATTTCTCGTGCTGACTTACAGTCACAATTGATTCAATGCTCCTTGGCAAAAGAGAAGCTGGCCATGAGCAATGTTCGTCTGGTTATGTCTATTGCTCAAAAAAATGATAACATGGGTGCTGAAATGGCTGACCTTGTTCAGGTTACTTTCTTTTGCTTCACTTCAAGTATGAAATGTCGGTATCCATGTATCTGAGTAGCTTGGATAGAGTTCTGGCCGACCTCTCTTATATGTAATGTTTGTAATATTTCTCATGCAGGCAGGTTTAATTGGGCTACTGCGAGGTATTGAGAAATTCGATTCTTCCAAAGGGTTCAAAATCTCAACTTATGTTTATTGGTGGATACGTCAGGTAAGGCAGATTTTTCCTTCTAGATTGTAAGCAGATTCTTCCAAAGGGTTCATCAGATATTACCACCAGCAGTTGTATGCATATCCCACAATGGATAATAACCTCACAAATCTTTTGCATCATTACATTCTAATAACCTTATTCAACAACTTGTCTTCCTATGAAGTTTAGCATTCACAGCCCTTCTTTTTTATCCCAAAGCAATTCGTAACTGAAAAATGAGTTTGCTGCGATAATAATGCCAGCTAGTCATTAGAGATGTTACAAAACTAATGCATTTTTACATCCTTGTTTGGACACAGGGTGTCTCAAGAGCTTTAGTTGAGAATTCAAGAACCTTAAGATTGCCTAATCACTTGCATGAAAGGTTAGGCCTAATTCGGAATGCAAGGATTAGACTAGAAGAGAAAGGAGTGACTCCATCAATTGATGTAAGTGCATCTTTTTACCAGGATCAAAATCACAGAAATTTAGTTTCTTAATTTTTCCTGTGTATAAGAATTCAGTGCTGGTGCATCATTCAATTTCCAAAAAGTTGACCATTTGTGAACTTTCTTAGTCCCTTTTTCTTTGATGAGGAGATATTTAATTTTGTTTATTTTGTTTTGTTCCATTCGAATCTTCTTATTTCATTATTATTTTCAGAGAATTGCAGAAAGCTTGAATATGTCCCAGAGGAAAGTGAGGAATGCTACTGAGGTACTAAATTTATGAGTCTACTTGTTCTATAGCCTTTCAGTCTCTCTTTCTGTCTACCAAACAATGTCATCATACACAGGCTATCGGTAAGGTCTTCTCACTTGATAGGGAAGCGTTCCCCTCTTTGAATGGTCTTCCAGGAGAAACACACCATAGTGTAAGTGAAGCTCAACTCCCCATTCTGCAAATCATTTTCATGTGTCTATTTTTCATCATTGACTCATTTTCTTCTCTCTTTTTTCAAAGTACATTGCAGATAATCACCTTGGGAACAACCCATGGCATGGAGTAGATGAGTGGGCACTCAAGGTAAAAAGAAGAGGAAAACTAGAATTTGTAATGAGAAGGAAAAACTTTGAATGGAAGAACAAACCCGCAATTAACTTATACAGTTCAGGTTTACCATGAGG